ATATTCAATGAAAAAAAAAAGATATATTCAAAGTTAAATATTTCAATTTGAGAGGCAATAATAGAAGAGTTTTTCGATGAAGGTTCGTTAAGTGGCGTTGAAAGAAGAAATTAATTCGATGGTAGCGATGAAATAACACGTGGACGATGATCGTCATCAAGCAGAAGCGTAACATCTAGGTGGGCGGGCCCACACTCCTTAAATCAGCCCGAAGCCATCATAATATTAAGCCAGCCTTCACTCCCCGTTTATTTGTTTGCTTAGAGCAAGTAATTAGAATTCGATACAAAATGGTTATTATTTATCGACTTGTGTGAAGCGAGAAAAAAAGAAGACAGAGAAAGCAATACAACCTATATATAGAGAGAGAGGATAAGGATCCTGATTGCCTCTCGCGCGTTATTAAACTTGGCGAGATAAATACATGGAAACGGCCTCTGTAATATATATTGTAACCTTTGTGAAATTAAACATCAATACACCTCACCTTACATCCTATTTAAATCGAAAATAAAAAATTACAAAAAAAAAAAAATCAAATAAAAAAATAATTACTTAAAAAAGACGGATTTTTTTTTTCATGAATAGAAATGAAAATTTAAATAATCGAGAATATAAAAATAAAAGACGATGGAGAGAGAGACAGAGAGAGAGGATTTCAAACACAGGAAGCAGTGTGCTGAATTCATTCCGCTGGACAAGGTAGACCCAACCCCCCGTCAGTGACCCCTCCCGCTCTTTCCCTCATCCCTTGGGATAAATTGGCCGAACCCGCATGTTTGCGGATAACATAGCCGCGATATACGCTTATGTCTATGAGGCCCATACGTACATACGTATCTACATTAACTGGTCGCTCTCTTTTTTTTTTTTTTTATGCCAACTATACACGTGAAAATTGGGAACGAAATTTTTTTCATATCCCCCTTCCTTGTTTCTAGTTCGGAACGAATTCCTGTTGGAAACTTTTTCATTTTCTCCCGTTGCCTGTTTTTAATCGTACGCTACGCGCGCGTTCTCTGTTTCGGAAAATTTATTGGCTGTTTATTGTTCTGTCTGCACATATATATATATAAATACATATATATATATAAAAAACCGAAAAACTTGAATTTCTTCAAATAATTTTTATTTCACATTTTTATCAATAAAATGTTAATTTAAATTCTAATTTCAACAAAACGATTATATATAATACTTATCAAAGTTATATACTTATATTAATCCTATTATACTTTGAATGATTTTCTTTCGCGGGAAAATATATAATACAATGTTATAATATTGATGAATATTCAATATGGCAAATTCAGAGAGCGATGAACAAGGGAATCAATGGGAGAAAAAGGGTGAGGTGTGTCAGTGTGTGTGTGTAGAGGCAGTAGGCATCCCAATTACTCCCTTGATAATTAAATCAACACCGAACCTAATCAATGTCTATCCCCCTGACAAACCTCCGAGTTAAATAACGGACGACCATGATAATTTAATGATTCCAAAGTTTTTAGGATTGAATTCAATTTTTATGTAGAATTTAATATTTCTTGAGTACAATTAACTTGGATGTATCATATTGATATACCTATACTAAAAGTATCGAATTGATCCAAATTATATCAAACTGATCCAAATTATATTGATTTGTTTTAGAATTAATTTGATATATACTTTTAACCGCATTTAACGCCTTCGGGACATGTGTATACCACTCACAGAAACCAATGTAACTTTTTCAAATATTAATATTTTTTAAAGGGGTTAGGATTATTGTCTTCAGAAAGGATCAAAGTGTTGAGAAAAAAATTCAAATAAAAAATAAAAGAATTTTTTAATATAAAAAATTTAGTAAGAGAAGCAGGCGCAAAGCGCCTTCATCGAGGGTTTTATTTTAAAATTAAAAATTTTTAAATTCAGGTCTTTTCTTGTGTTTTAAAATTCAGGTCATAGTAATGGTTGCTATGGTAAAAGTTGTCATGAAATCGGTTGCTACAGACCTACGGAAACAGTTGCTAAGAAAATAAATACTATAGAAACGGTTGCTATAGAAACAGTTGTCATGGAAACGGTAGCTATAGAAACGGTTGCTAAGGAAATGGTTGCTATGGAAACAATTGCCATGGAAACAATTGCTATAGAAACGGTTGCTGTGGAAGTGGTTGGTTCCTTTGGATACGGTTGCTATAGTAACCGTTGCTATGAAAACGGTTACTATGGAAACGGTTGCTATGGAAACAATTGTCATGGAAACGGTTGCTATGGAAGTGGTTGGTTCCTATGGATACGGTTGCTATAGAAACAATTGTCATGGAAACAGTTGCTATAGAAACAGTTGTCATGGAAATGGTTGCTATGGAAGTGGTTGGTTCCTATGGAAACAGTTGTCATGGAAACGGTTGCTTTGGATACGGTTACTATGGAAATGGTTGCTATTTAAACGGTTGCTATAGAAACAATTGTTATGGAAACGGTTGCTATGGATGTGGTTGGTTCCTATGGAATTGGTTATTATGGTAACAGTTGTCATGGAAACGGTTGCTATGAAAGTTGTTTGTTTCCTATGGAAACGGTTGCTATGGTAACAGTTGTCATGGAAACGGTTGCTTTGGATACGGTTGCTATAGAAACATTTGTCATGGAAACGGTTGCTTTGGATACGGTTGCTATAGAAACATTTGCATGGAAACGGTTGCTATAGAAACAGTTGTCATGGAAACGGTTGCTATAGAAAGATTTGCATGGAAACGGTTGCTATAGAAACATTTGTCATGGAAACGGTTGCTTTGGATACGGTTGCTATAGAAACATTTGCATGGAAACGGTTGCTTTGGATACGGTTGTTATAGAAAGATTTGCATGGAAACGGTTGCTATAGAAACAGTTGTCATGGAAACGGTTGCTATGGAAGTGGTTGGTTCCTATGGAAACGGTTGCTATTGTAACAGTTGTCATGGAAACGGTTGCTATAGAAGCGGTTGCTATGGAAACGGCTTTAATGGTGATGGTTGTCATGGTGGTTGTTTGTGTAAATTTCAAAATTCACAAAATAAAATCCGTTAGCACACACCCGTACAGACGTAAATGTCAGTTGAATAGCAAAAGTTTTTTTATATTAAATTTTTCCCAATTATAATGAATCCTTTCATTGTTCCAAATGAAGTTTTTTTTTCCATATGTGAATTAAAATTTGTATCAAAAAAATATAAGAACAGATTTTTATTTCCTCATCATATATGAGAATGAAAGATTTTTCTTTTATCAAAATTTATACTCTCTTATTTGAAACGTAAAATTTTTTTTTTTTTTTTGTTACTGTTGATGTAGTTTTTTATTTTGAGTAAAGGATTGTGTATTAGACTGAGAATTCCTAGAATATATATATATATATATAGAGAGAAGGGAAGCAACGAGTTTTCTCGACTGTCCATTATTGGTCTGCTGCCTACTGTCTCTCTCTCTCATAGAGATCGTAAAACTCATTGATTTACGAGCCCGTATTAGACACGTGGCCATCGCGTATCGTGTGATTCATGGTTAATGTGGGCATTGTATACGGTATCGGATGGTCAGGTGCAAATCTAATTTTATTGACAAATAAAAGTAAAACTGTCAACTAATTGACATTTTCCATTTTTATGAGATTTTCATACGAAAATTATTAACAGTTTTTTTTTTTTTTTTTTTTGTTAGAATGGCTATTCTGTTAAAATAAAAATTCGAATAAATAGAAATTCTGAGAAGTGAATTTTCGGTTATAGATTAAAAATTGAAAATTCTGTAATATATAGAAATTCGGTTAAATGAAATTTCTGTACCAAAAATTATTCAAAGAAATAAAAATATTCGGCTAAAAGTAAATTTGAGGTAATGAAATTTTGTCAAATAAAATTCTAACAAATAATTTTTGAAAGGTCATAGCATACCGGAAATACCCACAAAATCTTAACTCGGAAGTGCCAAAAAATGTATAGAGTACTTTGTGATAGGACAAACAAACTTTGGAGTTACACTCACTCACTTTGAAGTTTCGCAAATGCAGTTTAAAAAAAAACGCCCTTTTTACTAAAAAAAAATACTAATTCTTCAAAAATTGAAATAAAAAAATATTCCCACTCCTATTGTATATGATCGATGACATCCGATATTTATCGAAAACGATATACACCGTTATATATTGAAGCTTCAGTGAAAGATAGGATCGATTTTGAAAAATGGCTCACCAAGGTGCAATCCTGACAATTAGAGTCTCTCGCGCAATAGCACACATGTGGCATGCAGCAGGCTTACTTGATTGCTACAGGAGAGCTCTTAGGGTAGATTTATTGACCTGTCATTGGTATGGTTCACGCGAATACGCCAAATTTAGATTGCCGCAGGTGTGTTAAGAAAGTAAGAAAATTGCAAATGTGGGTAATAAGTGGTTTGCAGATGATAGACAGCACGCAGGGTTCGTACATACATATATATATATATACAAAGTCGTGATCCAGGTAATTAATTTTTTTTTTACACCATCCACTTTTCACACTGTTCATGGTTATTCTTATCACTCTTTAAAAGTGCCTATATAATTTAAAGGATCGTCCTTGTCATTCATCAAACATGACACGATCAATGTCTTTGATAAAAAAAAATATTGTAATAGGTTTTATTGCAATTACGAACGTCATTAGCCTCGACTTGATCCGTTGCGATTAATTATTATACGCTCTCGCGCGTATAAATTTTTTTTTTTTTTATTTGTAAAATAAATTATCATAAATTATTGTTTAATTATAAAATCAAAGTAAAAAGGTAGTCAAATTTCTATTCTTGATTCTTAGAAATTTAAAATACAAAATATATGATTTATTCAAAGTCCTTTTTTTAATATTCTAAATTGTATAGTAAAATTCGCGCACGAAAACGATGAATGAAAATAAGATGAGTGAAATGACTCAAGTTTCAAAGTTGCTTTTTGCCTTTAGGGCCTCAATTACTTTAATTTTCAAGAAATTCCTTACCTTCATTCTGGTGAGACGAGGTTCCTCAGCAGCAAGTTTCGCCAGGGCTTGGTAATCTCCTTGTGCAGCTCTCACCAGCCATTCGCGTGACTTTCCGTCCAGTTGCTGCAGGAAATGAAGTCAACGTTAGGAATTATTTTCAAGTATAATCTTCTTCGCAAAATATTTTGATAATTTCTTTGCAAAAAAACTTTCATAATATTATTTGGGATAATTTTTTTTTCAATTATTTATTTAAAAAAATATTATTAATAAAAATAAAAGAAATAATTTAAAATAGCAATATTTTTTTTTCAGGGTTGCCATACAAGTCAGGGAAATGTGAAAAGTGACTAAAAAAATGTTGTAAACCTACAATGGAAAAAAAAAGTTTATTTATCCGATTCAAATAATCGACTACTTTACTATTAGCAAATAAATATTTACTTGAATCAAATAAATTTTATTTGAATTAGAAATAAACTGTATTGGAAGCAATATAATTTTTCGTAAAATTTTGATTAGAAGCTTTGAAAATAATTAAATGTTTGAAAAAAAATTTCATTAAAACTTTTGAAAATATATTAAAGTAAATTTTTTTACTTTGAATTATTTGTATTACTTTGTATATTATTTTTAAAAAAATTCTTGGCTATAGAATTTCTATATAACATAATTTTTATTTTATCGAATTTTTATTTATCACAATTTTTTCTAAATAGAATTCACATTTGATTAAAAAAAAAAAAGAACAAAATTCGAAAACACAGAAAAAATCTCAACTCAAAATGTGTTCAATCCGCTCAATTTGAAGTGCGCAGCAAAAATGAGCTAATTTTAAACGACACAAAACGTAGCGCCATCTTACTAATTTTTTATGCACATAAAATTGAGTCTAAAAATTCATTTTGATTTTAGCTTCTTTCTACGAATGTCAGCAAAAAAATATATAAAATATTTTCTGCAAGTCACAAAAATGAGAAAATTATAATAGAAAAATTTTCCAGCAACCCTGATTTTAAAAAAGATTAATTTTGAATAAAAAAAAAAGTTTCAATTAAATCAACTTTAGAATAATAAGCTAAAGTTGCCAACACTCATTGGCGTGAAATTCAATTTGCGAATGAAACGTAGATTAAAAGATTAATAACGACAATGATGGTATAGAATAAATGATGCTGATGAACTTACCGAAGCAACGGAAGCTCTGTCATCCTCCTCCGTTCCCTGTGGAGCAAAAAAAAAAAAAGTTAGTGTCCGTTCGAAAATGAACTTGACGGCCGTTAAATAACACACATAAAATAGTGGAATGAGTGTTGTATATATATTTATATGTGTGAGTATAAAATAGATGTATTATAGTGCCAATGAAGTGCACTAAATGGCAGGAGATTCAAAGGGGGAATGAGAATGCCTAAAACAGCGGGGGATCAACATTGAATACTTTGATATACGGATCCAATAATTGATTTTCTGACATTGGGACCTCAACTTACGCAACCCCTGTCAACCACAAGTCGTAAATCGTTTGGAATCAACATATATAACGGATGTTTGCACTATACTAACAAAAAATAAAAATTAGCCCAGTCACTGAATCTCGCACTATTTTAAATTATATTTCAACTTTTCTGAATGATTTAACAAATCATTGATTTTATCCAGTTAATTGACTCAATAATTGAACGCACTATATATATATACAACCATAAATCAATTTATAAATAAGAAATCAAAATTTCAAAAGATGTTTATACAGTTAGAAGTTGATACAAAATGAGATATTTACCAAGCAAATATTTAGGAAGAAAGTTTAAAGATGTGGAAGTGAAAGATGGAAGAAAGAGATAAAGATAGACGAGAAGGTTCTGATCTTCAAAGAACGTTAAACGACTACTCATCCCAGTTAAACTGTTTGTATTTTCACTCGTCACGATTACAATCCTCACGAGGGTGCTCATGTCAAAAAGTTGACCCGGAGATTTTTACAAACATGTTTATCTAATTATATACCAGTAAAAAAAAAAGAATTCATAAAAAATTATTCTCAAAATACTAAAAGTAGGGGGGAAAAAATTCTTTTCTTGATAATAAATATAAAATGCAAAAAATTAATGTAAAATTTTTGATGAAAATAATATATATTTCTATAATTTATATATATACGAGAAGAAATGATAACCACTGACCCCCTGTGGTGTCAGGTGCTGCGATGAAGTGCGTTCTCAGCTCTGAGAAGCTTTCCTATGTGAACATATATACAAGAATAATGTTATCCACACACAGTGAAAACGGACTTTATTATATGCATAGGTCACGCGCTATCCTCCATCAGTGATTCAACAATCGTATTTTCAATAAGCGCTCGCTATTGCCCTGCCCGGTAGGGATTATAAATTTCTGATAGTGGGTCGTTGACTATCATTGAAAGAAATACTCTCTCGTAATAATAGCTATAAATTTATGGTTGGGAATTATGTTTGAGAGCTATGATGTCTCTAAAGGTTATGTATTAGCCTTTTATTTTTTATTATTATTAATAATTTTTTATTATTTATTAATTTTTTTTAGTACAGCCAATTACCAAAGTAACATCCGTAAGGCTAAAAAAGCTAAAGAACAAAAACAATAACCCCAGTCAAAAAAGTTCTATAGAATTTGACTATAGAATGATTCTAATATAAATTCACTAAAATGATATGCTAGAATGATCACTAGAATGATTTTTACAAAAATTCTATATAAAATTTAGCTAGAATTATTCTATAGAATTTCTACATTAATTCTATATAGGATTTTCAAGAGGAACTATACAATAGCTTTACAGTAAAATTTAAAAGGTATATTAAGTTGGCGCAACCACATTATTGAAAGTACTTTTTACCTATGCCATAATTAAGTGCTCATTTAGTGCTAATTTAATGCCAAAAGCACAAATTTAATGCTGTACATTTTTTAAAAAAAAACCGTGGTGGCGCCAGCTTAACGTTAAGGTAGCGCCACCACATAAAAAAAAAGCTGCAAAAAATTTTCTTATTGATACCATAATTTAGTGCTCATTTAGTGCTCTCAAAATATTATGCTCTTAATTAAAAATATGAGATTTTAAATGTTAGATTTGTCCAAAATCAACTTTCAGACAAAAACAAGTTTAACTACTTACATTTTTTTAATTTAAAAATTTACAAATTAATCGATTGACTTGATACCAGTTACACGGGGGTTTTCAGGGTCGCTGATTAGGAATCCGGTATCATTTTATCAAAAATTAAAATGGCGGAACCAATATGGCGGATGAAAAAATTAAAAATTGACCGAATACGTTTGAAACTCGTTACTTGGAAGTTTTCTGGGTCGCTCATTACGAATCCGATGTTAAATTTTTTACGAATAAAAATTTTGAAATTAAAAAAAGATATAAACTCATCCTCTTTGCACAAAGAAAGACTTCTACTTGTGGAGCAAAAAATTTAAAATGGAGAAAAATTTATTGGCAAAAATCTCCATTCTCTCTTTAGGGGATGGGAGTGATCATTGTTAAATTAAAAAATTTGATTTTCTTTTCATTTTGAATTTTTTAGGACACAAGTAGCAACCTTTTCATCTGTAGAGAGGAGAAGTTTAAATCTTAATTTTTATTGGCAAAAAAAATTATTAGTAATACTAATTACTTTTTACCTATACCATAATTAAATGCTCATTTAGTGCATTTTAATGCGAACAGCACAAATTTAATGGTGTACATTTAAAAAAAAAATCATGGTGGCGCCAGCTTAACGTTAAGGTAGCGCCAACACATAGAAAAAATCTCTAAAAAGTTTTCTTATTTATGCCACAATTTAGTGCTCATTGAGTGCTAATTTAATGCCAAAAGCACAAATTTAATGCTACACCCAGAGAATATATTACTTTGATTTAAAGAAATCAGTTTCTTTGACTTGGTTTATTTCATTAAAAATAAAATTTTTTTTGAAACAAAAAAAAATTATTAGTTTCAAAGAAAATTGTGCTTTAAATCAAAGAAATTCTAACATTGATATAAAGTCATGGAAACATTTATTTGAATTAAATAAAAAATTTCTTTTAACAAAGATAAGTTTTTTTAATCACAGAAAATTTGTTTGAAACAAATAAATTTTCTTTGAAGCAAAGAAATATTTCTCAAAGGAATTGATTTCTTTAATTCAAAGATATCCTTTTTCTCGGTGAGTACATTTTAAAAAAAAATCGTGGTGGCGCCAGCTTAACGTTAAGGTAGCGCCAACACATAAAAAAAATCTGTAAAAAATTTTCTTATTTATGCCATAATTTAGTGCTCATTGAGTGCTAATTTAATGCCAAAAGCACAAATTTAATGCTGCACCCAGAGAATAGATTACTTTGATTTAAAGAAATCAGTTTCTTTGCTTGTTTTATTTCATTCAAAATAAAATTTTCTTTGAAACAAAAAAAGCTTATTACTTTCAAAGAAAGTTTTCTTATTTATGCCATAATTTAGTGCTCATTGAGTGCTAATTTAATGCCAAAAGCACAAATTTGATGCTGCACCCAGAGAATATATTACTTTGATTTAAAGAAATCAGTTTCTTTGACTTGTTTTATTTCATTCAAAATAAAATTTTCTTTGAAACAAAAAAAAATTATTAGTTTCAAAGAAAATTGTGCTTTAAATCAAAGAAATTCTAACATTGATATAAAGTCATGGAAACATTTATTTGAATTAAATAAAAAATTTCTTTTAACGAAGATAAGTTTTTTTAATCACAGAAAATTTGTTTGAAACCAATAAATTTTCTTTGAAGCAAAGAAATATTTCTCAAAGGAATTGATTTCTTTAATTCAAAGATATCCTTTTTCTAGGTCCGTTAACCTGGCTTGTCCACATTGTCCGATCTGGATAAAACCTATTTGAAAATTAAGGGCTAATTTAATGCCCTAATGCCGATTTTAATGCTCGGCATTTTCTTTAAAAAACTTGTGGACAAGCTAGCTTAACATTAAGGTGGCTTGTCCACACAATGAAGGAGCACTCGTAGGAAGGCCTACTATAGGTCAAAATTTAGGGCTTTTTTAAGGCTCCGCAATGCTCTATTGACGAATTTAATGCCGGCATAATTTCGCAAAATATTTGCAAAAATTTAATTTTTACTTGATTTCAGTTTGTCCACACAATGAAGGAGCACTCACAGGAAAGTCTACTGTAGGTCAAAATTTAGGGCTTTTTTAAGGCTCTTGAATGCTCTATTGTCGAATTTAATGCCGGCATTATTTCGCGAATTATTTGCAAAAATTCAATTTTTACTTGATAAGCTTGCCCATTTCTGCTGCTACTCAGCCACTAGTCAAACCCTAAATAGCGTCGCTCGTCTGAAAAGTCTAGCCAAAAAGGTCGTTAATCCTAGAAGTACCACTTCCACGAAAAAAGTTTTTATATATGCTAACATTTAGGGCTCAATTAGGGCTAATTTAGTACCTCATGTAAAAATTTAGGGCCCTTTACCTACACGGAGAAAAAAGATTTCTTTTATAAAGTAACTTTTACTACTTTCAGAGTAAAACTGGACCAACTCGAAGTTTCTGCGCATCTCTGGCAATTTTTACTCCAAAAATAGTAAAATTTACTCTAGAAATAGTAAAACTTACTACGGAAACAGTAAAATTTACTACAGAAATAATAAATTTTACTATTTTTGGAGTAAAAATTGCCAGAGATGCGCAGAAACTTCGAGTTGGTCCAGTTTTACTCTGAAAGTAGTAAAAATTACTTTTTCTTTTTCTCCGTGTATTTAAAGTAACCCTTCGTACTGCTAGCTTGACGTCAAGCTGGATCTGAATTAGTAGTTTTCTACTAATGAAAGAGTGCGTATTCGTTTACTAATTGAATTAGTAACAGTTATGACTAATTTGTAGTAAAAAAACTACTAATTGCTAGTAGAAAACTACTAATTTATGGAGTAAGTCGTATTTTTTACTATTTCAAATTAGTAAGCCGATTTACGCTATGAATTAGTAGTTTTTTTTACTAAAAATTAGTAAAAACTGTTACTAATTCAATTGGTAAACGAATACGCACTCTTTCATTAGTAGAAAACTACTAATTCAGATTTAGAGAGTAGGGTTCTCAACTAAGACTATTTAAATTTTTCAAAAACCACCCCTAAGTTCAAAAAAACATCTCCAATTATTAAAACTTGATTTAACTTAACAATAATCATATAGGACATAGG